TTGGTTTCAACTGGTCAAATGTATTCCTAAATCACAAAGAATTTAAACAAATATAGGCATAGGTCAGAACTTCATCAATTAGTTGGAAAGCGAATGCACTCGGTGACTATATGGTTTAAAAGAAGCTGGGTATAAATAGCAGGAAAAACTACTTGATGTCCACTGTGAACTTTGTGTCCTCAACAAAACAATATGGAGTATACTATACTTGGTCTAAAGAATAATCTATGCCTGCATTCACTTTTAGGTTAAACTGTTTTGGGCATTGAGAGTTTGTTTGTTGTTTAACGTCCCTCTGGAGAATTTTTCACTCATATGGAGATGCCAACACTTGCCGATGGAGAGCTGCAAATGACCTATGCTCGGCACTCAGGGCCAATGGGCAGTGAGGGATCTTTTTCATGCCAGCATCTACTGCGACACTGGACCTCTGTACGAAGGACGGGTCTCTACGTCCCACAGTGGGATTCAAACATGTGACAAAAGGATCAACTAACTCCACGACTCTAGAGCAGAGGCTCTTTCCACTGCACCACGAGGGCGACAGCATTGAGAGTTAAATGTGGATATCAGAACAAGCTACTCTGGGCTTATACTCTCTATATATTGATTGATTGTATGTTGTTTAACATTCCTCTCGAGATTTTTTCACTCATATGGAGACACCACCACATGCCGGTGGAGATCTGCAAATTTTGTCCTATACTCGGGACTTACGGCCATTGAGCATCGAGGGATTTTTTTCGTGCCAGCATCTACTGCGACACAGGACCTCGATTTATACGGTCTCATCTGAAGGACCGGTCTCCCCATCCCACAGTGGGATTTGAACCTGCGACGTAAGGATCAACTCCTTACTTCGCTACTCTAGAGCAGACGCTCTAACCACTGCGCCACGGGGGCAACTACTCTCTATTTAAGTCACTTGTGCAATGACTTTAGTTTAATTCAAAGTTTGTACTGATCATGTTGAGTCACATAAGCACAAATATCTTTCTGCTGACCTTGACTAATGACCATCCGCAACTATTCTGGTTGGAAACAATATGTTAATTAATGCATAATAAGTGAAATTACTATGAAAGAAAAATGGTCTACTTAAACCACAAGTTATATTTATAAAAAATATACACTGGTCTCCTTAAGTCATATGAGAGAAACATAAAATATTAAGGAGACCATTTTTTTCATATATTTTTAGGAGGCATTTATTATGAAAAAATAAAGCAAGAGTCGACTAAATGGTGTTCTATAGATCTTTGATCGGGTACTTCTTTTTAGAAAAAAGCAAATTTAAAAAATCTGTATATTGTCTCCTTAAGCCATATATAATGGTCTGGTCTCCCTAGTCCTTAAATCAGAGTTATATATATATATATATATATATATATATATATATATATATATATATATATATATATATATATATATATATATATATATATATATATATATATATATATATATACAGTGGCGCCGCGTTTATCTGGACGCTTCACAATCCGGACGATATTTTTTGGGAACCGATTTTTCCCACGTTATTTTGTCCCTTTAATCCGGAAATTCGCGTTCCGTATCCGGACGGTCGATTTCTACTACCAGAACGTAATAGTTCAATGAAAAATGACTCGTTTATCCGGACGCTAATATTTCTAGAAACGACTTTATCACACTTATCTTGCAGTAGTGGTAATTGTTGTAAAAACATTGGTCATGCAGTCATTTGAAGGTGGTTACCAGTGACCAAAAACAATAGCGTCTACAATTAGCGTGTGTTTACCCCGAATATAAATCACACATTTATTATGAAGCTCGAAGAATTAAGCCTACACTGTGCATTAACTAAATAATAATCCGTTCAAAATAATATTGCTAACCGTATATACATCGGTAAATTCATGAGAATTTTGAAGAGTTGAAAATAAAATGAACAATACATTACGAACGATTTCGTAATACTATTTATGATGTTGATTGCGTTAGATTAAAATTCGATTTTCCACTTCTAAAAGCGTAAATGTATTTGAACGCTTTTTTACCCGCAAGACAGTTTAGAAATGTACATAAATGAAGAAATATCTTTCTCTGTAATGTACTTTGTCTATAAATGTACATAACTATAGAAAAGAAACATAAAATGTATAGAAGTTGATTACGCTTTTCAAGGTATTGTTTAATGGTCGAAATCCAAACTTAGAGTCTGTAGAAAAAAATATTGATAATCATGAAGATGGCTTCTGTTTTGTACTTTCATTGATTGCGCTTGTTTGAGTTATCTTGCAGTGTTCAGTTAATTTTAATTAGTAACCTGTGTAATGAATATACAGCGAATATACGGGGTTAACTTATATTTGAACATTTTTAATGATGATGCGGAACAGTTCTGTCATATCATATGAGCTTCAATAATTATAAAATATGGAGAAATAAAACAACAGTAGGTCAAAATTTGCCCAGCCCATGAAGTTACATGCCAAAGAGAAGTCAAATAAAATTTCCAGTGTTTAAAAAGGGAGTCTCAGCATAAAATTGCCTATCCATTTTTTTATTTTTTTTTGGGGGGGGGGGGGGTTAGAAATTAGATTTTAACACATTTTTCCTTTAATTTATTACTTCTTTTAAAACTATAAAATAAAAATAAAAAAGCAAAATATTAAAGTTTCTTTTCCTTGCCGTCGCATTTGATACAAGAATGTGCATATATAAACATACATGGAGAGTTTTTTTTTTTTTGAGAAGTGATTCAATTATCCGGACGATTCATTTATCCGGACAATTTCGTTGGGGACAGAGGCGTCCGGATAAACGAGGCCCCACTATATCTATATCTATCTATCTATCTATCTATCTATCTATATATATATATATATATATATATATATATATATATATATATATATATATATATATATATATATATATATATATATATATATATATATATATATATATATATATATACAAGCTAATTTACATAGGTTACTTGGCCCAACCATCTCCTGAAGATCGATTGACAAGTCGGGACCATGCTGCTGATAGTGTATATTACAACGCAAACCAAACAAGCCATGATGTTAAAATAGAGGAACTACAGAGTTACATTGCAGCCAAAAGTGCTGGGGAAAAACCCTTGTTTTATCTGGAATATAAGGTAGAATGAGATTTTTGGAGTAAAATGTGAAGAGGTTTAAAGAGAAAGGAAGACTATTCTTGTTTCATGAATATTAGTTACATATTTAGAAAGATATGATAGACTAATACTAATGACGAATAAATGTTACATATGTACTTATTGTTTGTTCATTAGAAAACGTTAACTGTAAATCGAGAATTTGAAAACGCTCAGATTAATAAGACCATATGTAGCAGCTTAAACATAAGATCCAGAAGTATGCAAAAATCTCAGTTCTGTCCATCGTACTTTTTGCAATATTGTTTTTAGCCGATAGATATAAGCTTGAGAATAACTTTCTTTTTATCGTAAAAACAGAGATTACCAACTGAAGATCTAGAAATCTGTCACACAGCCCAGAAGAAAGAAAACATTACGAAGAACCGTTTCAAAACGACATTTCCTTGTAAGAATACCTAACCAATTCAGCTTTCCCCCATTTTATTTCAGTCACAATCTTTTCAATTCAATTACGTAGTTATAATAATTCATATGAAAACAATGCAATATTCCTTTACATTTATTGAACAGTAAAAAACATCCAAATGATATTCTAACGTCACTGCATTCTACTTGTATTCCAAAATTTAAATTGACGTATACATATCATCATTTCTATCAATGAAATTTGTAGCAAAAAAAAATATTGCAAAATTTACTTTTGTTGCAGATGAACATTCCAGAGTAATCCTTAAAGAAAAATGGAATAAAGATGACAATGACTATATAAACGCAAATTATATTAGGGTAATTTTCTGTTTTAGGGTTATTAAGTACCTTTGTTTTATACTTATTTGTTTGTTATATTTAGCTGTTTTTAATTAATCTTTGTAGGATTTATATTGGGGAAATCGCTTCATTGCAACACAAGGTAGCAGATTTAAATTAATTTTCTTTGTTATCTCTCGTCTTTTATTCCTATTTACGTAAACTAAACATTTTGTCTCATCAACCGTGAGTTATTTCACAAGTACATCACATGAGTAGTGTTACTGTTTTTTTCAGTTTCAGTATCCATTCTTTTGATCAAGAATATTTTTTTCCGTTTATATGGAAGCAGAAATGCAAATACATCAAGATTTATTTTAATATGACATCGAATTAAAAGGTAGAATTGATGCTAATATAAATCTTTGTTATATTCAGTAAATTATAACCCCCCCCCCCCCTATTTTCTATATAGAGAAACGAACAACATAATTGATATTTGCTCCTCCGAAAAAAAATATTTTGCTATTGACCAGTAAAGAGAATTTTCCAACCATATCATTGATTTTGATTCTGATAAGTAGCCTGATTTTATGAAATAAATCCATCACGACTTTCAAAAAGCAAAACATCACATTGAAAATACAAATAATAGAGTCATGGAAACTTAAAGAAGCGCTAGCACTACAAGCAACGTGCAGAATAAGCCATTCGATATAAATAATGTGCTGAATTTAGATGAATGAAAACAAAAGGTTGTTTTATCAATTTGTTTCTTTTTTTCATATTAAAAATATTTTTGAATGATTTTGAGACACATTGAGTATATTAGCCCCTTCTGAACAAAAATCGTGACCTCCGCTCTGCGACGGGCAATATTTCATTCCTCAGGATAAGGGGCTAAATTAATCAATTTTGCCCTCAACCCAAGTCGATTTTTATATATTATACCCATCCTATGTGAAAACTTGTATATTAAAAGAAAATATTCCTGATTTCTTTGTGATGGACTTTTTTTTCCATAGCATAAATATTTCAAGTATTCAGCTGTTGATCCTCAATATTATCCATCTTTAATATTTTAAAGGAAAACTGACCTATATTTTCATACTTCATACAGGTCCTCAGAAGAATACAATTATTGACTTTTGGAGAATGATATGGCAAGAGAATATTGAATGCGTTCTTATGCTGACAAATCTTGTAGAAAATGGGAAGGTATGCTGATGTATGATATAAATCAGATGTTCTAGCGAAAATCTTTTCTTATGTACGTTTGTTGATTTATTCATCTTGTTTCTTTTAATGTTTCATTCTTTTTTCAATTTGTTGTAGGCCCTATCTGATTATTTTAATTGAATATAACATGTATTCATAATCAATCCATTTTTATAGAACAAATGCAAGGAGTACTGGCCCAATAAAGATCGCTCTATGAACATCGGTCCATGTAAAATTCGCCTTTTGGAAGAAACTACCTATGCTTTCTTTACTGTTCGGAAGTTCTCACTTCAGAGAGAAAACGTACGTCTTAAATACTTACCATTCAAACCACCTTTTGAACATATCCACTTCAAGTATTGAATACACGTTTTATAAAAGCGCTACCTACAAGTAGAAGAATTATAGATTGGCAATTTAAGTTTATAAATGTTATCTTCAAGTTTACCTATTTATGTTTGAAAATCTATTGCATGTCTTACTTGGCGGTTGAGTTTCCAAGACGTTAATACAGATCTTTTTTTGTAATATCATTACAGTCAAACTCCTTGAGAACAATCACCCAGTTCCATTATACAGCTTGGCCAGATCATGGCACTCCAGAGGAGATAGGAATTGTTCAGTTCCACAGAACTGTTATCAAAATTTACCAAGCTAGATCTCCATTACTGGTTCACTGCAGGTCGGTGGCGATAACGATCTCTATTATACTTAAATCTTCAATAAGAAAAAGAAATCGGATTTGTTAAGATACAATTAACAATGGCAATAGTATAATGGTATTGTAATAGAATGGATTTGTCTTGGGCGTCATTTTTTTATGCAATTACACGAAAACAGATTAACATTCTACGAAAGATAAAATGTGCATCATACAATAAATTGTTCTTTTATATATCTTCATAAGAAACTAGCTGCCCGCGTGGCGCAGTGTTCTAGAGTTGTGGAGTAAAAAGTTGAGATGTTGAGACCGATACTTCGGATGAGAACGTATAAACGTATAAAATCCCCTGTCGACCGGTCACACTCGAAGGGTGCTCCTTGCCTTGTTCGGGCAAATAAAAAATTCCGTAGACAATTCCGCATGTAAATAATAACCGAGCAAATTTAGATGAAAATTGAAAATAAATGACAAGCAGAATTCGACATGATGTTGAATTGTACTCGTTGACAATTTTATTGCATTTACCTTAGGATTTGCTAATTGCTCGCTTAATTAAGACTTTTGGTATTCTTGCTTCATCATCTTGTTTTTCAGTAGCTTGACTCGCTTTAAAAATCGAATCAACTGCTAGACAAAAACTCGATATTCAGGTGATGGAGGTATATTACTAAAAAAAAGGGACTTTGGTGATAAAAAAAATTTAAAGTCATAAGTTTTTTTAGGTTACCATTAGCCTATTAGCGTATTTTTCTTTAAAAAAAAAAGAAAAAAAGTAACAGATGTATCAGACTCTGTAGCATCTTTTATTTCGATATGATAGGTATATATATATAGAGTCGACTTTGCAATGAAAATAAGAAATTTGAATTGATAATGCGTCCTCGATCAACCTAGATAATTTCAATTTATATTTAATCGTTTGAGATTTTGGTGGAAAAACGTGTTACCCGTCCATGACAACATTCCCGAGAAGTTGATCGAAAATTCCTGTCGAATCTGTTTGCAATAACCTGTCTAACTACATAATCACATTTGTCTCGCATTTTTCCAAAAAAAGAGAGAAAGAAATTGGTAATAGTTATTTGGAACAGATCGAAAAATTTCCTTAAATATTCTGCAATTTTAAGTTCGATTTATTTCTATTCTTTAGATATTATTTGATTGAGATTTCTTCTAGCACATTTAAATAATAGTATTTAGAATATATTTATAGAATGCAGCTAGATACACATTCAATTATATGAACTTTGACATTTTAGTGCCGGAGTGGGCAGAACAGGAACATATATTGGTCTGAATGTGTTACTACATCAAGGAAGAGAAACGGGGCGGATCAATGTTTTTGAGTTTGTGAAGCAAATGAGAGAGGATCGTATGAACATGGTTCAAACAGTTGTAAGATAACAGTATATGTTTAAATATAATATATGAAAATGGATTGTATTAATTTGCTCCGTACTAGAAAATATCCACTCCTTATATTAGTAATTTTCCCTGTAGGAGCAGTATGTGTTCTTGCATAAAGCATTACTCTGTGGATTTCAAGATCTAGAAACTGTAATTTCTGAACGTGATCTTCAAGCTAAAGTACTCACCCTTCTGAACGATGCATCACCTTTTAATCAACAAAAACTGAACAAAGAGTTTCAGGTAATATAAATGAAGGAAGTTTACGAACCAAACCTTTGTAATCGTTTTAAATAATTTTTTTATATTTTGGTACGAACTAAACTTTATTGTTCATTAAAGATGTGTTCATATTTTCAACTTGTTTTCATGATTATACAAATGATTTTACATTTGATTGCTTTTCAGTTGTTGGTGGCCTTGAAACCCTTTTATGATAATGTGATGAAAGAAGATGCTGTGAAACCCGCAAACAGAGCAAAAAATGTGGATATGAATATTTTGCCAGGTGAGATTTTAACTAACAATATCCTAAATTTGATTAATTTATACCTATGCAATTGAATTATTTTTTAAGTAGTCAACAATTTTATTTTTAGCATCAAAATACAGACCCTACTTAACATCCTATGTTAGAGGAAGTAATGACTACATCAATGCAGTCTTCGTTTCCGTACGTATCATAATTTCAACTTTTATGAACATACAAGGAACATGAATTTTCACTCTTATGAGGGAAAAAGGTTTTACTAGATTTAATGACTTTCTTTTTATTTCAATCATGAAGTAAACATTTCTTTTAAATTTTGTTTCATAAGATATGATGTAACTGTTTTACCTTCATATCATAAATTTCATTCGGAAAATCAAAAATAAATTAAACCAAATCTAATTTGATTTATCAAAGGAATGCATGACATTAATGGAATTTTTATTTATTTATTTATTATTTTTTTTTTTTTTACATTGTAATTGACGAAAAATGGCACAGACAATATTTTATGAAATATAATTTAATTTCCAGACTTTTACTAACCTATATGGATTCATTGTGACCCAGAAGCCTCTTCCTGATACAGAGGTTGATTTGTGGAGATTGTGCAGGGACCATGAAGTCGAGTCAATGGTGGTTCTGAATGACGGTGAAATGGTTTGTAATGCAAACTTATCACAATCCTATTCATTTTTACTACAAAATACATTTCTGGCAGATCCTCTGGTTTTGTAGAACGTTTCCATTTCGGTCCTTCTCTAAATATTTCAATCTACCTGTTTCCTCTCTATTTTCAAAAAAAAACTTATTTCTCCATTATTTAAATGGTATACATTATAATAAATACATGTAAAATCGTTTTTATCATAACAAGGGAGATAACTGGCTACCTAATGGAGGAGAAAAGCTACACTGTAATCCTTTTACCATAAGTGCGAAAGAAAATGGGTGTGACAGTGACGGTATCCAACAAGATCGTCTTCTTATATCAACAGACGTAAGGCTAAATTTTAATATTTCTTGCTATTTAATTCTCTTATTTTTACTTCGAATATGTGTTTCTAAAAATGAAATACACTTTATATCATACGTTATTTATGTTTTATGAACAAAGGATTACAAATCGTACATTGATGTCTTTCAAATTCCATCTGGAAATGATGAGGCTTTATTGAAAGGTGCAAATATGCTTCTAGAGAAAGGAAATGCATCAACTTCTCTTGTCATAAGCAGGTAAGAATTTACAAATCTGTTTATTTTTTCCCTAATAATGATCAAAGAGACTAGCTTTAAATACACACATTATACAATTTAAGTATTTTGACCACACGAACATTTTATTTTGAAAGAAGCAAGACTTATCAATATTAGCATTTAACAAAACTACTAACTGAAAAAAAAAAGACCTGATTTATTTTTTTAAGAACATTCTTACAATAAAATGTAATAAACATGTTTCTTTTGAGAAAAAAAAAAGAATGTTTTGTTTAAAATGACACAAAAAGACACTTAGATATCCTTTTTTTACATGTCTCTTAAAAGTTTACACGAAAGGCAGGGGGGAAATGCATAAAAATTAAATAATCGATCGACACCTTTGCTGTAGATAGTGAAAAAGGTTAAGATAACGAAGTGTCGATATCAAAAAATCTATAAACAATACAAATCTGTGAAGAGGGCATAAATATATTCGTGAATGCTAGTATTTTGCTTTATAAATGCTTATAAAAATATCAGCGCGAATCAAATTTTTACAGGAGACCGTCTCGCGTAATTATAGGAAAACGAGGTTTAGAGGGAATAAAATGTTATTTACAGTACATTGATTGTTGAAGTATGAAACAAAATACATTCGTCAATTTCTTTTGTATATATTTTGTCGGGAATCCGGATAGGGCTATGCAGTTGACGATGTAAGGGTCGATAGTGCGATGACGCAATGATGCACTGACGAAGAAGCGATGATAGCGGAATGACAGTGATACGATGGCGCGACCATGGTGCGATGGCAAGATGAAGTGATTGTGCGCTGACGATGGTAAAATGGTATGATTAAGACGAAGGGATGTTCACAATCGCTTTATCGTGCTATCGTACCATCGTCATCGCAATGTCGCACCATCATCATAACGCTTTTGCACCTTCGGCACATTTTTTTCGCGCCTTCGTTAACCGATAACAATTTTCATTCTTGACGTCCATAGAAAAGTTAATTTCATAGACTTTAAAAAGTAGATTATAAATTATATCAGAATTGTCTTCAAAATATATGCTATCAAGATCTTTGATCTTAAATTTCCTAATAAGTATTTTGTTTAGTCTAGTATTTTACATTTTTAAATGACTTTTTTGCTTCTCAAATGACGCAATGACATAATTTTAACTTATCGTTATTCTAAAGTAATGGTGCCGGACCAGTGGGAGTATTTTGTGTTCTACATAACGCTTTTCAACAGCTTCGAATGGACGGAGAGGTGGATATATTAACAAGAGTCCGACAGATACAGACTAGGAGGCCAGAGGTCATTACAACGCTTGTAAGTTTTTATTGAAAACGATTTGCAATTAACATTTTTAGCCCACTTCTGTTGATTTTTCGATGAAATCCTGGCTTACGATTGGTTGAAGTCTGTCCTCTGAAGGGGTGTATTACTTATACCTAGTCGCATGAAAATCAATACATGGTCGATGCAGAGTTATCGATCTTTTGTAACACTTCGAATAACTCGGTTCACGAGGTTTGCCGAGTGTCTGTTGACAATTTAAAAGTTATAACTAACGTAAGTAACCAGAAGGAACTTTTTTTTAAATTGAAAAACACAATGAAGGTCTTTCAAAAATAAATAATCGTTCTGAGAATTTGATTTAAAAGACTCATGTGATTGCTAATCGTTATCCGTCATCTATCATTCATTTTCCTTTTTGTACATATTCTAAAGAGAGAAAAAAACTAGTCATTTCTCATCACAAGCATGCAACTTGTATACTGTTACTAGGAATGTCATCCTATTATAACTTTTTTTCTTCCGATTTACAAGGTTACATATCGTTGTTAATGTTTTCATAAAACTCGTTTTTTTTTAATTCGCGAACTATCCTCTCTCATCGAGAAAGTATGATAAGTGACAAATTGTGATATTTCTTTTCATCTTATTGTAACGTGTCGAGCGGAATGTTAACTTCTATCGGGGGGTTGTACCTTGTCGATTCAAGGTTTTGGGGGATGATTTCAATATAACAATCTTTCTTAATAAATGATTGGCATATGATTAACAACAAAGGTCTCCAAATATATACAAATAGTATGGCCTAACCTTATCTAGGTTAATAATCACGACAATATGAAATAGCGCAGGACTGTTAAGGCGTACTACGAATAAAACAACGGAATATATACGTGCATAAATACATACTATTTTAAACTGAATTAATTTTTGTAAAGCTACTATATTATCACATGACTTTAATTTTAATTGAAATAACATTGTATACCTCGCTCGGTACGGAATTTGGTTTCGTCACGTTATTTGACAGTCACGTGATAAATGCATGTAATGTGTACTGTATGTAGGTCATAAACAAATTTCAATATCGCAAGGGCATACCCTAGTTAGAATTAAAAATTTCAGTAATAAATTGTATCTACATAACCTGTAGTTTATGAAAGGTGCTGCTGCTTTACATAGAATTCGCATTTTATTAGTTTAAATTTCAAGTTATTTGGCTATAAACGAAATATGTGTGACCTTTGCCATGTATTTTATTTATTTATTTAGTAATGCTGTCGATTTCAGGAAAGCAGCAGCACTTTTCAAGTTAAGGAATGCTTCCGTTATGCATATTCAAAAAATGGTCAAGATCTATTAAGTGTATGCCCCTGCGAAAAGGCGATTTAATGAGGCACCTCGGAGTGAAACATGCACACCCTGTACATAAAAACACGGTAGAATTAATTCAATACATTCTCTCGATAGTTCTTTAAAAAATGGCACAAAACAAAGGTTTCAGATTTGTAATAATGGTCTACCTAAGATTTGCAAATAATATTCTGTTTAATAATAAAATGCGTTTTTCACTGTGGAAAAATAACTTGATCCGCCTCTCACTGCACATAAAATGCGTCAAATTTTACCACGATGACGTCATGTCGACAAGTGCATTGCGATCAGTGACTTGTTTATATCTTGCTGTGTGGGATTTAACTAGCGACAAAAATGAATGCAGTGGTAAGTTTTGATGTAGTTCATCACTCTTATGCAGTTTAAAACCGCAAATTATTTCATTTTCTGTTGTTTTGAGGAATTGCTATATTTGTGTGATGTCACAGTAGACATTTCCCGTATAAATTAGGCCCCGCCCACTTTATGCAGCCTTAACACAGCTGCGAGGATTTCAACTGGTTACAAATGATTGTGTAAATGCAATGGGTAGACTATCACTTTCACTGGCCAACCTCGGACTGACACTTGTACTGCAGCCTTATTCAGGACACAGTCAGTACAAGTGACAGCTCTTCAACTGCTGTGCACACTGCTAGCCTTATTCAGGCAGACACACTGCGCACAACAGCCTGGTCGCCAGACAGGTCAACAAGACGAATTACAAGTGGCTAACCTCCGTTGCTGGTTAGCCTCTAAGTGGCTTGCCACTCCAAAACGCAACAGCCTTTTAATAACTATCCTTGTAGACCTTACTTATTTCATAAGGTCAACCTCTTCTGTAAGCTGACTTTATCGTCTCACTTACAAGTACCGCTGTATGTTCACACACGTCTTGCACTTAGCACAGCTTGCACTGGAAAGGACTGTCTGTACCGGGATTCAGCCTTTATATACCTTTTTAACACGGAAGTTTACATCTGAAACATTATAGCTAAACCCGAATGGTCACACTATAAGTTTCCGGAATATTACATTATCCTTCTCTCATTGTATATTTTGTCCTATAATTACTAGTTAATACCGATTATAATATTTTTTTTGTATTATATGGCATTACAATAATACATTGTAGTAGCTTTTCATCCTATGATGTTATGTCTGTTTTATTGAATTGTATGCGATTCACGTGACTTTATTTCTTCTTGCTGTTCATTTTATTCCAGGAAGAGTACCGCAGGTGTTACCAATTACTTGGTGGATCCGTTTCATCAGAGGGGATATATGCTAATGTTTGAGGCACAATGTACGGAGTTTCCTTCTACATGAACTATAAAAAGCTTAATCTTTCACATTTTCCGCATGAAAAAAAAATAGAAATTATATTTATTATCTGCTGATATTATTTTTTCAACCGATTACATGCTTCTCAGACGCAGCACTGTTAAGGCTACAATAAGGAGGCGGGGCCTAATTTGCACAGGAAATATTAACTATGAGACAACTCTACAAAGAACTGGGTACATTACGTATAACAAATCGGTTCTGCCTCTAAATTTGATTTTAGCTTTTTTTTTCAAACATACCTACGATGTGTCCTTTCAAAAACATTTTATTTTTTAAAATTATCTCAAACAGTTTAATGATTTAACGTTACGTTAAAAGAAATCTGTAAAATCTCTAGCTATTGTCTTTTGATATTTATGAATCCCAGACATATAAAAATTGAAAACGAGTAAAGCATACGTAAGGAAGCTGATGATTTTCAATAAAAAGTAAAAAATATTCTTTTCTTGAACAGTAGAATAAAATCAATGCCCACTATGAAGGAGCATTTGTAAGATACACTTTTCATGATAAATGAGAAAATCCGAAAATTGGCATATTTTCTGACCTTCGTGTGACCTCAGTGTATCCCATAACCTAGAACCAATACTCATTTTGTGGCAGGGGTGACAACAGGTTTTTATTGATATTCTTCTCTTTAATATTAGAAATTGAGGTATATTTGTTTATTCTGCGAAGTTTCGCATAATACTCGGATGGGTTCATATCGAAATATAGATTTGAAGAGGAGGAAACCGTCCAAAATAGGGGACCTCCGGAATATTAGACCGGTTTGAACAAAAAGAAACGTGTGTTGAGAAAAATTTATTTCTATTTCACACACAGGAAAACCGTAATAATTAATTGATACTGTTGATAAAATGTAATCATGCGTTTAATTTTTGCCGATTTTACAGGGCCGTTAATCGGTCTTAACGTACCCAGTTCCGGATTAGATGTTTCTTTTCCTATTTTAAAATTAAGTGCTTTCCAATTTATAAAAATGATTATCGAAATACTAAGAATTCTATAGAAATATAGTTCTGAGGAAAGAATGGAAGAATTTTTCAAGTGCTCTTCGTTGTTGCAACAAAATGCTTCGGTAATCAGTTTGTATGATAATTTTGAATAGATGAGATATCGACAGAAGAGATTGTTATTTGCTAACTCAAAATTAAACTTCAGTTAAATGTTGAAAATTACAACAACAATATATATATATATATATATATATATATATATATATATATATATATATATATATATAACATTTTTCTTTCTTTTTTTTTTAAGAAAGCATTTTTTAATAATATAAATGTATACATGAAATTTATTTCAATGTATTCTGCTAGTAATCTTTGCCAATTATATCATAGAAAATGCACTATATATATTTTTCTTACAAAAGTTCAAGAGAAATGTGAGAGAACACAAACAAACCGTTATTATGTCTAATAATCCAATCTAACAACTTTATAGAACTCGAACTCTCTCTCTCTCTCTCTCTCTCTCTCTCTCTCTCTCTATATATATATATATATATATATATATATATATATATATATATATATATATATATATATATATATATTAGCACCTTTTGTCGACCAGTCATACGAGTTGTGAAACCTTGATGTTCATCGGATAAACAGAGTAATTCCTGAGAAAAAAAAAAAAACTCAGCTTGAATCTCATGACCTTACAGTTTGTATAACATTTGTCGAAAGCACATATATATTAAGTACGCATTGTTGAAAATAATCAAAATAATGTTCTTGCCTTAGAACTTTTCCAGGTTACTTGTAATTTGACTTGGGATTAGACGGACTTTTTTTTCTTTTTCGGTAGGGGTCACTTTTTATCAAGTTGCATGTATCCTTCTAGTTGAAATCTTTTTTTTTTTTTCTTTTTTTTTTTTTTTTGTTCTTTCAACTCTCAACCAGTTTTTAGGCTGTAAGATAATATTTGTAAGCAAAAAGAATAATTACACTGTCCGATATTTCTAAAGGTATGATAATCTTGCATCAACCTATTTCTTATTCATTTATAGAAAGTCTCAGTCAACTCTCGGAGTATTCAGGCCTACCAAACAAAGTGTATCATACTCATATCAGTATCAACCTAACGACATATTATGTAAATTTGCAAACAAGGTCATTATATCGGTAATAGGATTTGTTAAATGTTGACTCAAAATGCGATAGCAGATACCCTTGTATCATTTATGTTTTGTTCGTAGCTTGCCTCATTTTACAGCTTTTTATAACTACAAACTTGCCCTTACCTACTATCATTATTTTTTTCCCTCTTCTTTCTTGCATATTTCCCCCTGAGCTTGTAAAAATTGTGATTTCTTGTATATGTCACAAAAGTCTGTTTACAAATTATATTAATACAGTAATCGTTCCTGCCTTAGATGGATAAAATTGTATTGAAATAATAAAAATACATTTATAAAAAAACAAAATTATAGGGATATATTCTACATAGAAGTTACATATTTTTATGATTATTTTTATATCTTATCATTTGTGTTAATTTTGATATCTCTCTGTGATTTATGTATACATAAAAACAAATAATTTAACAATAATTTGATTATGTTGCCTGTATGTTGTTTTGCAGCACATTAAAAAATAAAATGAAGACTAAGAGCATATGATATCTTATTGTAAAACCAGAAAAGCATACTCTAGAAGTACTGTTAATCAGATGTGGATTCTCGAAAACTCCAGAGAACTTTTAGAAAAATTAAAATCGCATTTTTTTTTTTCAAAAGTCATTATAATAAAAACATAAACTACTGTTTCGTCAATGAAAATGGAAGTCGGAACTTTTCCTATCTCGTGATTGGTCATCAAGAAAATTTCTTTCTTAAAGATCACTCTGATTCTACACACAAGTAATTTGAAGTTAATATTAAAAAGATGATGGAATTCCTCATTGACATCATTTATGTACTCTTTGGAGAACAGGTCCTCCAACAAACTTTTGGAATTTCGATAGACACTAACTGTGCTCCTTTATTAGCTGGCGTGTTTTATATACCTATGAAGCAGGATTTAATCAAAAACTTCTACATAAAAAGGAGAAAACACTCATCGACGATATATAATAAATTGGCAAACGTTACTTTCATTCATCAACTGCATACGGGGTATATATCTCTCAGTTGATTAGATACGCAAGAGCATGCTCTACTTATAAACAATTTCTAAAACGAGGTAAATTACTGACAAACAAGTTGATGAAACAAGAATATCAGCAGTATCGTTTGAATTCATCATTTTGCAAGTTCTATGGTCGATGCAATGACCTTGTCAGCAAATACAAGTCAAATGCTGACTGACTTTTTTCATACTAATTGTTAGGCCTTTATTTACACAATGATTTTCCGTTATTTCTCGATAATGACAAGGAGCACACGGCGGGTGTGACTGGTTGGAAGGGGATGCGCGCACTCCTCCATGGCACCTGATCCCACCTCTGATGTCTTAGATGTCCGTGTTTGCTCTACTCCTATTTTGTAATGTTTAATGAACTTTTGAGCTCGAATAATGTACGCTATCTCCACATATTTCTATATATTTGAAGTGAACCTGATATTACAGACACCACAGAGTCTGTCATATGTTTCAGATTTAGATGTTTTACTGGCTATAAATGATAAGGCCAAACGAGATAATATTATTGTTGAATTAAATCTTAAAGATATTTTCGGGAAATCTTATTAGGTCAATACAATTTTTTAATGGAACGTCATTCAAAGATATTGGGACATCTTGTTCTGGTAGACAATGGAATGTAGATAAAGTAATAGGTGAAGATTTTCAAGATGGCCTAATAAGTGAAATGAAGGAAAACCATCCAAATTGGAAATGAAAACGCTAAATTTTCCTTATTGTCCTATTTTTAGTTTAATTTAGACTTGGACCATTTTTTTTTAAAAATGCGTCATCACATTATGTTAATGACCCCCCTTAACTGTGAGCATCTTTGGTATTCTATTGAATAGAGAAACATAATAGGCATTTGAGGACAGTTCCTCTATCGTAACTCTACACTCACAAGAGTACACGGTATAAAATAATTTTTGAAGTCAATAAATGGTAATTCATTACATTTCTCTTAGAACAAGACAAATTGTACGAAATATATATATATATATATATATATATATATATATATATATATATATATATATATATATATATATATATATATATATATATATATTCACATAATATATTTACGTGTACCTGTTGTGGTAGACAAGTATGAAGATAATTGCTACATGGTTGGGATTCAAGTTTGGTCCATGTCCGTAACGCTGAGTTTAACCTTAGACGCTGGACATAAGTAGTGATTTTTCCTTCCTTATACCCATGGCATTACAAGTGAAAGTTCTGGGTCTTCTGTAAATTACCTTAAAAACGTAGGACTATGGTACATGTACATCTAGGCGTTGGCAAGAAAAAGAACCACTCACTGTTCAATGGTCCTGGGTGCTTATCATAGGTTCGAATTTAACGTCATTCGCCTTTATGTTTTGAGGTCACATATTGCAATGGACAATAAACAATCAATTAAGAGACCATGCCAGTACGCATTGAACTTTCTATGGAAAGTCAAAAATATGATTTTTTTTTAATATTGTCTAAGCATTATATCTGTCACAAATAACAAGAAAAATACAAAATTAATTATTTCAACCATAATCACTGAATCGTATCCAAGGAGAAACATTTCCTTAGTTACCAGAACAACTTTTTATATTCAAAACGGGCAAATACTGACATAATTAATTGTATTTTCAGGCAAATGTTTTTAAAAGATGGTTTAAAATCACCCATTTTTTAAAGATGACTAAATTGATAGTTCTACTTTGACTGATTAAATTGGATTAATTTCTTATGTTACGTTGCTATGGCAATGGGAAAGAGCGACAATTTTAGCATTGAAAAAATAGCTGAATTGAAGACATTTTTAAAAGGAGT